ACAGAAAGGACATCGAAATGTTGGAAAATCGCTATACCAAGTGTATCGCCCTCGAAGGCAACTATATTGAGGAATAAATATAACTTTGCTCAAAAAACGCTTGTTTTCATTAAAAATCCCAGGACTTTTCAGCCCATGTAGTATATATGAAGGCAAGTCAATAAGTTCTTAGAAAATCTGTCAGAGGGCACTCGGAGTGTCATGTCACATTACTTTTTGATAAGTAGCATCTTTCAGCTGATTACTGTCAAATTCTGAACGGAATTCATCGTGTGGTTTCATTTCTGTAGACGACTAAAGCGAACAACTTTGTATTTTTTGCAAAATGGAAAAAAATGAATTTCGTGCAATGATCAAACATCTACATATGAAAGGTTTAACGCCGAAAGAAATCAAAACCGAGTTAGATAATGTTCACAGCACATCTGCACCAGCGTTTGTGACTGTATACAATTGGGTGAATGAATTTAAACGCCACTTCGTTCGGGACGTCCAATTGAGGCTGCTACGCCAGAAATCATCGATAAAGTCCACCATATTGTTTTGACTGATCGACGAGGGAAAGGGGGCGGGAGCTTGTTGAGGCAATAGGCATATCACGTGGCACAGTGATTTCAATTTTGCACGAACAATTGGGTATGAAAAAGTTATCGACAAGATGGGTGCCGCGTTTGCTTACTGTGGACCATAAGCGCGACCGTGTGACAATTTCAAAACAATGTTTGGAGATATTTCAACGTAATCCAGATGAATTTTTGCGTCGATTCATTACTGTGGACATCCATTATTTCACCCGAGACGAAGGAGCAGTCAAAACAATGGACTTCACCGAGTGAAGCAGTTCAGAAGAAGGCGAAGACCATGAAGTCGGCCGGAAAGATGATGGCCACAGTTTTTTGGGATAATTCATGCGGTACAATTCATATCGATTATCTTCATATCGATCTTTCCATCGAAGCAATATTTTATAAATATTTTATAAATATTTTATAGAACTAAATTCAATATTGATTTAACACAGGAAGTGTTCCTTCAATTCAATATTCTTTTAATTTACCATTATACGTTATTAAATCAAATTAATGTTATTGTTACAAATAAAAAGGTTAAAATTAAAATTAAGTCAATAACAAATATAATTGAATTAACTACTTGTATATGTCAGTCCGTAATATATGTTTAATTGATTCAATCTATTTTTTTGTTAACAGCATTTTTTTTCAATGTATATTCGTTGTATGCTCTCAAGCAAAATATTGCATAAATCTAAATATTATGCCAATACAGTACCACGCCTATTAAGTTCACACAGTCACTTTAGTCGAGGCTATAGTACAATCGAATATAACTTACATAGAAATTAAAACTTTTTTGTTGCTCATTTTATTGCTCAATTTCCAATTTTGTTGCTCCAATCGATTCAGAAGACAGTGCCTTTGCTAACTTAAGATTAAAATTTGAAATTAAAAATACAAATTTAGCATCCACGCGCGGACAAAGATTGAATGAGCGAAAACAAAGTCCGTTATAGGATATGACCATATTCGATTATATCGATCATGCAAATAGTTCCTTTATATTTGGCCGCTTAATTGTGAGCAGCGGGATTTCGTATAATGAATTAATTAACACGTTACGCGTTATGTGAGTGTCCGGAATTATATAATCTGATAACAGCGATTGATTATGAAATATTGCCAATGCGAGAAATTATAAGTTAATTACAAAATAGAATGAGCATATAAAAGTCAAGAGCGGTAATTAAAACACAAAAATCTTTTGATTCTTGATGTTCTTCTTATAAATTGGCAACATACAATAGAGAAATTATAAGATAACATGGTTTTAAGTAATAATAACATAGCCACGGGGATCAATTGTAACTAAATTAAAATTATAGCAATGAGAAAATTAATTTATAAAAGAGGAGATAAGTGTAAAGTGTTGAAGTTGCAAAAGTAAGTGTCTTTTCAAAGCCTTTCGTGGTCTATTAATTAGCGCTTTTCGTGAGCCGTGAATCACGAAACTAACTCATGAAACTAACCCTTTAGGCGGAACAAACTCAGGATATTTCTTTTATGGCACTGAAAAATACAACAACTTATTGACATACAAGTCATACAAATATTTCAGTATGTCGAACTCTAAAAGTGTTTCTTAGTATAGGGATTCCTTTTTAAGGATTAATCGCAAATCACAAGCAACAAAATCAAGAAAATATGATCAATCAAGATACTTGATTAATTTACATCTTTGAGATGTCATGCTGATACAGGTTGACTATATAAAGGTGATTTTAGGAGTGTAGGGTGGAGTGACAAAAGCAGCATATTAGTAATTAAAACATTATAAAAATAAGTAGTACATTTTTACTTTTTAACTTTTTTTTAATAGCTGTACTAATTTTAACCTTAAGTTAGCACAATCGCTATTTTCTTCAAATCAACTGCAGCAACAAAATCGGAAATTGAGCAATAAATTAATAACAAAACTAAATTTCTGTGTTTTATTCGATTATGCTAAAAATAGCTGTGTTAGGTTAATAGACGTTGAGTGACCATCCCAAACAGCACACAATATTTATAAAATAATGTAGTACAAAAGAAGGGTAAAGAGCCAGTAATGTACAAAAGAACTTTAATTTAAATTAGCATTAAAAATTCATATAAACAATTACAATTAACAACAAACGTTTCGACTCTAATCGAGTCATTTTTTAATGGTTATCTGACATAGTGAAAGTTAGATGTTCGTTACTTTTGCAAATTTGCTTAAAATAATTTATATAATTAAAAAAACTAATATATTCTATCACGAAATGAACTACCATTTACCTGCGTTTTTTTTCTCTCTTTTTATTAATGGACTCTTAACACATTTACTAATATCACTGACAAGAATTTTCTTATGACTATTTTGATTCTTAATAAAAATGACTCGCAGCGTACTACACGAAATGAAAAATATGATATTAAAAATTATAATATTGTAATACCATGTACATATTTTTGGTTTAGAACAATATATTAAGACTACATTGAAAATGTAATATGAATTTTTAATGCTAATTTAAATTAAAGTTCTTTTATACGTTACTGGCTTTTTGCCCTTCTTTTGTACTAAATTGTTTATACGTACAGAGCCTTATTACTATTATATTTTTGTGGTCTTAGATTACACAAATCATAAATTTTTATTATATTGGGTCATCTAAAAAGTATCCGCGGTTTTTAATATTTATTGTAAATATTGTAAATGCTATAAAAATACTTAATAAGACATTATAATCTAAATAAAAATACCATAAATATTTATTTATTTATCATAAATTTACGTAAAATATTTATATAACATTTCAAAAAATAAAGACAGTAATAAATATTTATCATGAATATTCTGTGCAGATTAGGATTTAACTCACCATTCCAGAATGTGGAGTACTATCATCACTATCTTCGCTGGTCGTAGTATTATTATTCGTCTCCGGAATATTGTTTGCTTGCATAGTAGTCGGACTGCCTCCGGTAGGACTTCTATATTGCATTTGTTGCTGTTGCTGCAATTGCTGCTGCTGCTGCTGCTGCTGCTGCTGCTGCTGAGAATGCATATACTGCATATGTTGCATTTGAACCTGTTGCTGCTGTTGTTGCAACATCAATAATTGTTGGCCGCTATGTTGTTGATGACGTGGAGAGCTCATTGTTGCATATGAACTTTGTGAGTTGCCATAGGCAGAACTATAAATGAAAAAGAAGATTCGTTTATAAAAAATAAGTTTTTTTCGAAGTGAGCAATTAATCGCTGCATCAAAAGATAGAATATGTTTATATATAATTAAAAACGCTGTTCATGGTAAAAATATTTATGATTACATTTATTTAATCGCGATAGAATATTTCAATATTTATGCGGTAATAATTATTTAGTTCCGAATCTCCCCAGTTCTAATAACCTTGACATATATTGTCAAGGTCATAATTCTGAGCAACTTTGCCTTAACAACTAAGTGGCGATCTCTTATAATTTCCGAGATATTTAGAGTTATAATTTTTGAGTTTTTGAGATTTTAGAATTGTAATTTTGATAGAAAATTTTGGTAGAACTATACAAAAGAATAACAATCGCTAATGATCTTAACTTTCACATAGGCTGTCAAGGTTATGACCTCAAGTAATTTTCAAAAGGTTTTAGGCTATTCGTTAAACAGTTATTTTAAAAAAAGTATAACAAATAAAATAAAAGATCTGCCTGTATCAATTAAATAAGGGTTGAGTTAATGTTTGGATTAAATCGGAGTGGGAGTTCATATGGAGGGTCGAAACTTCTTCCTCTCTTTGCTTCTGGAGTGAAACCAGATCAACAATTGTTCTATTCTAAATAGTTTCGTAGAAAGAACACGTGTGAGCGGGGGAAAGGCTCCGCCTCCCTCCTTGCATCCCTACTCCGATTTAATCCTAATCTAATCCAACCCTCTGATTGTGAGATGGAAGTCGCTTCGCGTGGAAAGTCGTATTCTCTTAATCGTTCATACAGATGGGTTTCCAATGTGTACTCTTTTTTGTACTACTTTTGGGACTTGAGAGCGAGCGAGAGGGTCGGAAGTTGTTAAGACTCCTGAGTAGTCTACATTAAATCATGACGTTAGAAGTAAGAAATGACACGTTAATTTTTATTGCCACGTGCAATTTATAAATAAAGACAATTTGGATAAAACAAAATGATAAAATTGCTTTAAAACATTTGTAAAAATGGACAAAAACTATGCTTCTGACAATCAATAAATAATCATAAAAAGTAATAAAAGACACGTATAAGTGAAAATAAGTTATGCATGCGCATAAAATAAAAGCACTTCATGTGCCTTTTATCACTTTTTACGATTATTTACTGACTGTCAGGAGGAATCGCAATCGGTAATGCCATTTCACGATTCCATATGTCAAAAATATATCCAATAAGTTAAAAAATGTGATAGATAATTGTGATTTTCACTTGGCGCCTAAACCAATAAATTTGCTTAATTCTTTTAAAAACAGGAAAATATTCCTTAAATACAATAAATGCGATGTTGTATACAAGATTAGCTGCCAGGACTGTGAAGCCACTTACGATGGACAAACGGAAAAGCAATTAATTATAAGAATAAAAGAATATTCTTCTAATATTAATAAACCTACGGATAAACTTTCTGTGATTTCGTGTAGAAATTAATCATAATTTTAAATGGAATGATGCTGGCATTTTAGATATTGAACCTTTTTTTTATAAGAGGATGATCTTTAAGATGATTTACATAAAAAAAAAAGAAGCAAAACCTTAATAAAGACATAAAAATAATACAGACAAACTACCTAAGATCTATTTACTTCTTCTATAATCTCTGTCCTCACTCCTAATTCTTTTCCTATCCATTTCTAGACTTAATCCCTACAGGTTTAACGAGTTGTCGTGTCCTCCGAGACAATTTTATTGTGTGACAATTTAATAGAATACGAACGGTTGATAATGCATATGAGTAGTATTAATTGTGGGCCATTACGGTCATAGTTTTAGATAGGTATTTCTTTTTATACACTAACGGAATATTTAATTTTATCCTAGTAACTTCACAACTTTCTCATTAGGACAGATAGATGTCTAATTCAACTATGTCAATTTAGCATTTTATTATACTGAAAATGACTGCATAACAATAGAAATGTTTACTTGTAATTTGAACGATAAAAAATATTTGCAATAACATATTGCAGTTTGGCCTATATGCTTTTTATTTATTATTTTTGACGTATTTTCTGTTTATTATATTTTATATTATATTAAAAAGAATCTGAAACTTGGATTGAAACATTTATAAATTATTATTGATTTCGAATAATTTATACATATTATTATAGCCGGTGTCCGGTTTGTAAAGGCATGTTTTAACTATTGACTAAACCAATTCAGTCTTTAAAACTTTGGGACAAAGAGATAAGATATTCCAGCTCAGTAATCTAGGCGTTCGCTTGGGTACGAAACTGAACAAAAGTTTATACCTCAAGGAAAAGAGGACTACACCTCTATGTGAGCCTGTAGAAAGGTTATGGAAAAAAACTGGGGTATAAATCTCAAGGTTGTCGTGTGGCTTGGATAAAATGGTTTTAATATAAAATGGTTTTAATATCAAGACTAACATATACTGCAATAGTTTAATAACCTAGGGTGGAGAAGGAGGAAACAAGGAACTTACTCAAAAGAGAGGATGCTTTATGGCTACGACGAGGACCAAAAGAACTAACTGAGGCGCTGAAAGTGACACCCTCGAGTCAGATAATTATCAGCATAGCCACACAAACAGCATTTGGATTAAAGTGTCAGGGTGAAAGAAGGAAACTAGGTTTGGTCATATTAGATCGAGATCTATTGGAATATACTCGTTTTCTTTCATGTTAAAGTAAGATAAGATTCCTAAAAATAACAGCTGAGAAGACTTTTAAAGTTCAGATACCGGACAAGATTTTGATTTCTTAACCAATCTGTAAACACATAGATGAATCAGAAGCAAACGGCCGCTTTCGAGCGGGCATATATAGGTCTAAAACCAACTGTGAGGAAAGCATACCGATAGGTGAAGCGGTTTTTCAGACTGAGGTATTGACCATTCTAAAATGTGCAGAATTCCTACTAAATAAAAGAAGTAGATATTGTAACTATATCTACTCAAACAGCAGAGCAGCTATTAAAATATTTTCTACAATCTTTACAGAATCATCTGTAGTTTGGGATTGTATGTAAGCTCTAGAAAAACTGGACAAAACGAAGTTACCCTGGTATGGATTTCTGGATATCAAGGTATACCTGGAAATGAGAAGATGGACGGTCTGGCTAAACTGAGAACTAAAGTGAATCTGGATAAACAGATCGTCGAACATTTCGTTTACTGTAGGCAAAAGATATATTAAAAAATAGCTGAAGTAGAAGCATCTAAATTCTTCGAAGGCTGCGAAGGGCTGACGATAGTCAAAGCAACTAAAAAACATCTCAAATTAGTCAGAGCAAAAGAAGCAATGAGATGAGACAACTGAGAATGATTTTCTCGCAGGATATATGAACATCAGAATACACCTTATCTTAGGCTCACTAAGCATAACTACCGATTGTGTGGAGAGGAAAGCAAAGACAGCCTGTGCCGCTGTGTATCTTCTGATAAACTGTGAAAAATACAGATTTGGTCTCAGATTTTGAGACTATATTTATTAGGCTTACTATATAAAGGAAAGAGGGTGAGCAATCTTATAAGGTTAGTATGCGGTACGGGATGAATTGGACACTTAACGTTCGGAAAAAAGCAGGGAGCGACAAGGGAACGTTTTAAATATAGATCAAGTGAACGGTGATTGTTTCTAATCCCATCCGCTCAGCTATTACTGCCACTATTGCTAATACTGTTACTACTACTAATACTATTGCTACTACTGCTACTGCTATTACCACTGCCATTACTATTATTACTAAGAGTCTTCTTCAATATAAGAGAAAAATATGTCTGAAAATTATGCACACATGTACATGCGATAATAATTTAGTATCACAGTATATACTACTACAAATAAAAACTACCATAAAAATAATGGTCTTCTCTGAAATATTTGCTTAAATTAATTTTTCTTAGATGTATCTATACTAGGGCTCGGCGAAATTTGCACATTTCAATCGATTTTCAGCTTAGTTAGATTAGAGCTTCTCTAGCTCTAATCTCAGAGCAGGTTAAAGTTAACGAGTGCTATTAGCTATGTGGCGCTCAGGGCCGGCGCGCGCTTCTCATTTGCGGGTACTTAGTCTTTGGCTAATATTAATAAATAATGTCTTAAGATGCGCTCATAAACATCTCAATGAAACAAATATTACTTTTATTTCTTCTGTATTAACAAATAAATAAAAAAAATTGATTCCATAGTACCATCTAAAAATAAAGACAAATATAAATAATATGCTTTGCGAGTTATGAGCGTTCTATTATTTTAATTATTGCATAATTCCATATGATACAATAGTTAAATAGTAACAACATTAAATTTAAAAAATTTAATTCTCAGTAACGATTATGATATCTTATAAAATTTCTTAGATTTGTAAAAGTTATCTGCAAAGTATCAGGAGAATTAAAAAGGTTTTAAAAACACAAAAACTGTTTCGGTATAAAAAATATGAAGATTCACACCTTTCAAAATAAATAATTTTTTCGAAATTATGCTCCCGAAATTTTGCAGATAATTTGTTTTAAAAGTAAAGAAATTATAAATAATCGATAAAATAATTTTTAAGAAACATTATATGCATATCGTTTCGTAAGACATTTTACATTGATTAACGCACTTATAAAATTAAAAAAATTAATATCTTTGAAAAATTCTGTTATTTTATTAATATTTTTTAAAAATCCTATGTTTTTTAAAATGTAGAACAAAGAATCTACTTTTTAAATTCAAATATTTTAATGTTAAAATTTTAGAGAGCTCTCTTTTTTATTTTTAAGTTTACTGTAAAATAAGGAATTCAGTAAACTTATTAGGTGTTGGAATTAATTCGTAGCGTTTTTTAATGAAAGAATGTTATTTATTTCACATGAGCATTAAAAAATACATTAATGAAAGTACTTCCCATCACTTGTAAAACGCTACGAATTAATTCCAACACCTAATAAAAATAAAAAAGTTATTAAATAAAACGATCAATAAACGAGCAAATTAAATTAACA